CATCAGCTTGTAAGCCATCCAAGGCCTCCCCATTCTGAGAAAGACTAGAAGCCCGGGTATGTGTGCGTGCGTGCGTGTGTGTGTTTGTGTGCATGCAGCCGCGCACACCTTTCACTGTTGGGGTAAATATGTTGGCCTAATAACATTCCTGCAAACAGTGTTTGCAGGAATGTTTGTGTGTGTGTTTGATGGTTAAATAGACAGTCACTGACAGTCACTTGAATAGACAGTGTGTGTGTGTGTGTGTATGTTTGATGGTTAAATAGAGAGTAAGTAGGTGTGGGGGTGGGTGTGTGTGTGTGTGTGCACACGCGCTAAGGTGTGGACGTTTCGTAACACCCTGTACGATCTCTGAAATTGTCCTGTTACCAGACAGACTGGGACAGTGTGTGCACAGCAGAGAGCACATCCTGATCCGTCTGCACTTACTGCACATTCCATTGATCTGCATGTCGTCACTGACCCCGCGGCCTCAACCTGGTGGGCTTGAATCGAACATGTCAGCACCGCCTACCTCCCTACGTGTTATGCTTTCTACAGACAGTTGAAAAACAAACCGCACGGGAGAGAGTATGGCGGCGCTGACACACGGGACAAACAAGCAGCTCACAATCACTCCTACAGACAGCCAAGTCACTTAGCCGAGGCTGCGTGTGCTCGGACCGGCGGGCCTCGTTCCATCTAAACGGCAGCACATTAATAATGGAGAAGGGTTTTTGTACTTGCATTGAAACTCCGCCTGTCATGAGACCAACACGCTGATGTCTACATCCTGGGATTAGTCTCAACCCCAGACAGCACCCACTTTGCGTCAATGTTTGAGTTGTTTGAGTTCCTGTTTGCGATGCACTCACGGATGCACACATACGCCTTTCCCTGGATCCCTCACCTGATCTGAGATCAGCGCAGCTAGAATCTAACCGCCAAAAAGCATCTCATTGACAGTAACCGTCTCAGGTGGCAAACTAGTCTTGGCTGTGAAATAGCGTTTGTTTTGTGTATGTGTGTGTGTGTGTGTGTGTGTGTGTGTGTGTGTGTGTGTGTGTGTGCGCATGAGGCGGCGTGACATCATGTCACACACGCTGATGCCATCTACTGTCACATCTGGAGAAGTGGAGCGCAGCTGTCTTATGAAAGCATCAAAAAATAGTTGCAGAAATTCTTAAATCAACAGGTTTCATAGAAAAATCACAAAACAGAAATGTAGAAATTGGTTAGTATAGAGCAGGGGTGTCCAAACTTTTCCCCCGTGAGCTATACTGCCTCACTTCTAATCCACGAATATTGGCAAAAGAGCCTCACATTGGTTCTTAGGCCGCTGATCCCCCTCCATTGTCCTGCATGAAGGCAGAGACAAGAAGAGAAATACGGGATGTGGATATTTCAAGTTTATTACTGAAATTATTGGGATTGTTAAGACAACTTTAATTGACTGAATTTATCAGGTAATTGGGCTTATTGACAAAGGAACGCTGTATATTTTAACTCCCCTGTAGTGGTGAGAACGTTGCGCTCAGCGTGATGCGGCTCTTTGGTCAGCTGGCAGGTCAGGAGGACGTTGGGAGGTTGCGATGCGACGGACGTCACGTAGTTGCTGTCGCTCATTCTTCTTCTCGGTCTGCTCATCACTCGTTTTGCGCGGCGTCTCATCAGCGGAAACGTGGCCGAAAGCTGATGCTGATTCTTTTCAATCAGTTCTAACTGCAGACTCTCCTCCACTTCTTCTGCATCCAGTGAAAACAGTGTGGTTTCCTTCTAAAGGACAAAAACATCTTGGAATCGCTGACTGAATTCTTTCATGAGAAATGATCACATGATCAGGTGATGGTTCCCCAGAGACATCCCTGGTATAGAGAAAGATATAATGAATTGGATACACTTTTCCCAAACAATCCATTCATTGTCATTTATTTAGCAACGGCACCAAATGTTCTCGGGTTCCAGCGTCTGGGGTTTGAAGGTTGAACTAAATGTGTTATTGTTGGCTCATGGTCGCGCAAACCAAGCGATTGGAGGAGGTCACGTGGGGCTTAGTAGGCTGTGCTCTGCATTTCTTCATGATCAGTGAGTCATAAAGACAACAGACGGAAGGATGGACATTGACTGGCTGGTCGTTGACATCATCACACACAGTGAACTGGAGCTGATTAAAGGAAGAGATCAACGAGAACTTAATCATCAGCTATTCTGTTCTGTAAATAACTTTCTAAAGGTAAAATGACACCTTCTCAGATGGGAAGGATTGTAAATATTTATTTTCCTCCATTGTCGAGGAATTCAACCCAGCAGAATTCTCAATGGACTTTATTAACATCAAAATGTCACCGGATTAAAAGTGTTCTGAATCCAGAATAAACCTCTACAGAATAAGCAAAAACTTTTCATAACGTTGTGGTATGCATCGCCAATAAGCATTCCTCACATTATAATTTGGCTATATTCAAATATATATAATAATATAGTCAAATATACTGACGTTAAAAGTACTTCTACTACTTTCCTCTGAGCCGAAGAGGACTGGAAGCAGAAAGTTATATAAAAGGGAAATTTCTCAAGTGATCCAGCTTGATTCCTTTAATTTAAACCGAGGATGACCCTGATACCCCCCCAAAGCATCTGAGGTTTGCCCACCGCAGCCTCACAGTGCTGCGGGAAACACTGAGTAGGTGCGTAATTAAACTTACACATTCTTGTGTGCATTTTCGCTTTGTTTTATTAAATCACGCCTCAGGGAATCGGCCTCTTTTCATTAGCAACGGTTTGTCACTTTTTAATCCAGTGGTTTTGCTAATTGAGCATCGAGCATTGGGCTCCACGGAGGAAACCAGGTCAGCTCAGGTCACTTGTACCCGAGACCACCGGTGTTGTGGGAACTCTGGCGCCCTCATCTGTTACTCTCTGCTCCTCGCATGTGGATGTTTACTGTCATGCAGTTGTTGTCTCATGTGTACGTGAAGATGGTAGTTTTTTTTGTTCGCTATATTACTTAATTAGTAGTAATTACACATGTTTGAAGGATTTTTTTGACACACATACACTAAACCAGTGGTTTTCCAAACTGGTTGTCGCCCTGCGCCAACAGGGGGTTCATGTCTTCATCAACAACCATAACGTTTAAAAAAAAAGACTAAAGCGAAACCGACATGCGGCGTGTTGGAATCACCCCCCCAGAGCGAGGGCGACCCTGCAGCATCAGAAGACGGCAAAAAAGACACACTGTAACTCACAAAATGTAATAAAAAGTAAAGGGATATGTAATTAGTTTATATGTTATAATGCAGGGGAGTGGGGGGCGGTTTGGGGGTCTTACAATGTCCCTGTATCTTCAAAGGGGGCCCAGACAGTAACAGCTTGGGAACCACTGCACTCAGAATGAATAATGTTTTAATTCCCTGGCAAGGGTCCACTTTGTCAGCAGGATAATCCACTCCAAAGCCTGCAGGCATAGAGCCATGGTGCAGTTAATAAGGGCAACTTGCACAACATTAAAAACCTTCCCTGTAAGGGCCAATGGTTTCAGCCAACCAGATTGGACTGATAAGGACATCAGTTCACGCTCATGTCAGCCAGGCCCAGATAAGGGCCCTCTTTTGTCATCGCATAAAAACAAATATAAGTTATTGAATTATCTATCTATTTTCACTAAGTGAGTTTCCACGCAGCATTTGGTTATCTGTGACCGGTGTTGACAGTTTGTAAGGCAGGACTGTGAGAGGGAGCTGTGTGCAGCTGGTGTAGCAGGTATGATGTTTACCGTGATAGCATGCTAGCATTTGGTGGGCAGCACAAGTCTTATGGGAATGTCATCACTTTTGCAGGCGGCAATCTACTGGTCTAAAATGTCACGGCAATGTGGAAGTGCCTTAGACTTGCATTCTGTCTAATGGCCAGCAGGGGGCGCCTCTGCTGGTGACAAACAGAAGTAAGATTGTTTAAAGGTCTATGAGAAAAGGGCTCTACTCCCTTGATTTATTCCCTAAACATTGTAAGCATCATTTATGGTCTCAATCTCTGTTTTTGTCTTGTGTGTTCAGCTCATGGAATGGAATTTTGGTTGCCTAAACATTCCTCATTTAGGAACCAAAAGCCAAATGCCGCCTCTCAGCTTCAATCCAATCCATCGGGTGGCTGTAGAAATAAAAGGTTTGAGCAGAAGATCTCAGAATGTTGTTAGAATTTATCCTGCAGGCAGCAGAAGTATATTTTATGAATTTGAAATGAAAGTTTGTGGCAATATAACCAGCTGACAACAAGCATTAAGAAAAGTGCTCCAAAGAGTTCGACATGTTGCATTTGCTTTTGATAAAAAGTCGTTTTCGGATCACTTTCAACAGAGAAGGACAAGCTTAAAGGCATGTTTGTATGCACGTATGTACAAGCAAACCTTTTTTTCTTTTCTTGTCCTTATCCTTTAATTCCGTCTTTAACTTTTTAAGGTTTGGCTTATTAGCTACTGAGAAATATAAAATGGGATGAAACCGCTGCAAAGTGACAGAGAAGCATCGGTTTGCCTCCATCGTTTCCCTGCAAGGTCCAACTGAAGCTTTGATCACTTTAGGCCTAGAGGAGGAATAAAAACCTCAAGGAAAACACAGGAAAATTGTGAAAAGCTATTTAGCAAAATGTCTTTTCATAGGGCTCGTAAGTAGCTTATATAGAACTAGATTTGCTGGAGTCTGTGTTCTCTAGTGGGCGCTGGATTAAGGAGGCGAACACAGACGCTGCATTGTGAAAGCAGAGCAGCCGCTGGAGATCAAAACACGGAATGAGGAACTTGAATAATGAACCGATACAAAAGGTCTCACCTGATGATTTAGGATGATGCCAACATAACTGTGTCCGATGCTTTGAGTGCACTACTGGCCGTATCTTTTTGAAATGAGGGGGTCCACCAGAAGGAGATGGGCGCCATCTATCTTCTGTTGTGCATTATACACAGGTGTAGCGTATTTACACGTATGTTAACACATCTGGTACGTGTCTGACCCTCTGCCCTGCAGCTCCCCCGCTGATGTCCCGCCCGCCGCGCTCCTCTCAGCCAACCGCTGCCCACATTCTCAGATGGCCGTCTGTTGAAGGGGCCGCCGGCGAATGCTGAGCACGCTGGCGAGGTCGAGGTCCGCCGCATTGTCCTGTGATTGGCTGCCGGACGGGACTGTGGCTACATGGAGCCAATGTTCAACAAGCAGGACAGCAACTCATCAGAGGGAGACGAGAAAGGGTGAGACCGGTTCTGTGTGTGAGCCTGATGGATGGATGGATGGATGGATGACGCATGGATGGAAGAATGAAGTTCATGTCGTTTAAATACACACATGAACTGTGCAGATCTACATCCACATCACAGAACAACTGTACATATATTTGTTATGTTTTTATGCTTCTATTTAAACGCAAGGGTGGTACGAATGCATCAGAGACTTTAATGAAAGGGAGAATAGAAAAACAACAGGTAATAGCAGACGAGAGCTTGTGCAGTGCGAGCTTTATAAATAGAGTGAAGGGCCGGGTGGAGGGGAACTTGTGAGGGGAGGGGTTCAGTGTTTTTTGTGTATTTATTTGGAGAGGTAGGAGAGAACACTCTGTCACGCTGCCATCTGTGCTCTCACCATTTATCCCGCACGTGCTGTACTCTCTCCCAAACACACACACACACACACACACACTCACTGCCCTCGCCGCTTCATTAAATAATTTAACCCAGCCAGAGTTTACAAAAGTGAACACAACCACTGAGCAAGTTCAATCCCACTTTACCCAGCTAGCGTCTTGGAGGAAACAGCCATATTTTAAATAAATGATTGAACTCGATAGGCACACTGATCACGTTTTATTTAACCATTTTCATTCTACGCTTAATAGAAGGCATTCTGCAGGCCGCTGGTGTAAGTAAGGTGAAAGTTATATGGGATATGTGCCCTTTTCCCCTCATCTAAAACAAAATTATTCAAGGCCCACTAGCAAGGTTAGGTGCCCCCACCAGGGACTCCAGGGGGAATTTAGTGGCCCCTTCATGTTTGCTCGTGTAGCATGTAAAGCGTCGACCTGAGGGCTGCGCTCCATTTGCATCCCTGTGCGAGCAGATCGGCTTCCGTTATTCAACATGAATGCAGATGGTCTACTTGAAGACAATCTTTACTACCTGCAGAAGCGAGTGTATGTGTGTATTATGCATGTACCGTGCAGCATGTGTGTGTGTGTGTGTGTGTGTGTGTGTGTTTGTTGATTAGTAAAGTGCAGGGAGCCGGATTAGGAGCAGCAAAGGCAGATGGAGCCACAGAGAGCACAGGACAGCTGAGGACGCCTCGATACGTGACATCGACCGGGGGATTGTCGCTTTTGTTTTGTGTGTGTGTGTGTGTGTGTGTGACTGTGAGTGTGTTTGTGACGGTCCCTCTTTCTCTCTCTCTTACGTTGTCATAGAGCACACACGTGTTCTTGAGAGCGCTGCCTCATGCCCTGCACCCTCCCCTCTGAATCACGCAGCCCTACACACACACACACACTCACATACACACTAACACATGCACATGTTCGCGTCACATCGCCTGGAGTAAAGGATGCTGAAATAGAATTGTGTGTGTGTGTGTGAGTCAGTTTGGAGCCTCTGATTATTTCATGAGACAGTCAGCACCCACCATTGCACTTAAACTAGCATAGAAGAAGGAGGACTGTGTGTGTGTGTGTGTGTGTATTTGCCTGTTTAGCAGTTTTATTTATAATGCAAAAGAGACAATTTTGTGGTTATAACGGCTCTGTACTTTTACATGGTAGGATACGACTCAGCGTTCTTTTCCAGAGCTTGTTTCAAAGTAGCCCATCTATTTAATTCATCTGAAGGAATATATTCTCTTCCTGCTGCATTTCAGCGATCTATGAATCCCCTCACAAGCCGCAGTCGGTTTGGCTCGTCAGGCGGAGGGAAACAGTTGCGCTTGGTTTGTTATTCATTCAGATGTGTTCGGATTCACACACTTTGAAATAAACTCCTGCATGTATGTTTTCTGAGACAATCCCGATTATTCCAGGAACCGCCCTGTACGTGACATTGACCAATAGGCTTCATCCGCTGCCTTTCCCCCCCGAGGTCTTGCCCTCAGCTGCTGAAAACTCCTGATTTTGTCAATGGGAGTTTGCACGTCCCTCTTCCTCCGCAGACCAGCGAAGGTGCTACTGGCGGCTAACGTAGCCTCACGCTGCCTGAGTAGCGGCCATTACATTTGTACGTCGCCTTCCGACCGGACCTGCCCACGTGGCGCAAATTATTTTATTGCGCCGCGTACAGAAGGTAATAGTCCAAACTACCTGAAGGACAGTGAGGCGGCCGGTTTGAACGCACAACGTTCACAATGTGAGGACGTGTACATAACACCGCCATTACACAATCTGGGCTTGTTTGTGCAATGATTAGAAGTCAGCGCTGACGCGTCACAGCCAGGGAGGGGTGGATTAGTGCACGGCATCAACCGACTGCTCCCCAGTGTCCTCTCCAACACCGGCCACGTGATCTCGACTGGGACACAGAATCACTGCCGCGTCGCCCTGACTGCAAAAGCAGTCTATCTTGAAAAAATAGTGCTTTTTCATGTTCTTCAGCCAGCCAGGCATCGGGCAGGTAGCTGACGTTGGGGAGTCCACCGCAGAAGGACAAAAGGGACATTTTCTCTGACATTTGAGCTATTCGGACCATGAAGGAAAAACCAAACAACCAGGATGATTTCGTTCCCAGTTTAGTGGCCTGGGATTCTTTCAGTTAGAGTAACAATTAAAGTTTTGAAAGAATGTTCATCAAAAGCTAATTTATTAATCTGAATTGTAGAAAGGGAGGCGGCTTCATTTGTAACAAGCTCACGTGAAAGAGTGTGCTGTATTTCATCATGTTTTAGTAGGTTTAGTCAATGTACTGACTGAATGCTCAGTCCATGTAACAGTCGAGATATTTCAGAATCAACCAGAGATTCATGATCCCCAGAGGATAAAGTCTACTGACTCGTGAGTTTGTTTCTGCTCCCCTTTCGCACCACCTCACAGTTTTAGATTTCGGTGAAATGTCTTGAAAAATTACAGACGATGGGTTGCATTTAAATTGGGTTCAGATCGTCATATTCCCCTGAAGGCCACTAAATGATGGTCTGATGCATTTTGGCAGTGATTTGAAAACTTTGACGTGAGCATTTACTGCATTTCTCTGTAAATCCACAACAACTGGCTGATTAAAAAAGAGTGCACTCTAATTGGATTGATGAGATATCAAGCATCTGTTGTGTCCTCATAAGACCTCATACCGCTGGAGAGACGGCATCCGCCTGCCGTTATATAATCTAGTTGATGTTGTAGACGGGCCGAAACGCTTCTGTTGGCGATGGACGATATAATAATAATAATGATCATAATAATGATGAGCGATGAGAACGGAAAGGACGCGATGGAGAGTAAGTGTAAGGTTCACGGTAGAATAGAGCTCGATGAGGTGTGTTGTGATGACAGCGAACATGTCGTCGCCGCACACACACACACACACACAGACCAAAAGAACGAAGGGGGAGACGAGGTGAGCTGGGGAGAGGGAGGGAAAGAGCGGGAGGGGAATAAGCAGAGTCAGCGTTCCCTCCCAGCAGCCAGTCGGAGGCAGAGAGGCTGCAGAGATATCTCAGCTGATACAGCTCCAGGCTGCGCTTCCCCGCGACGGACTTAACGCCGGGGTCACCGGGAGGTGGGTTCAGCGGACGGGGGATTTAAGGGACCTCCTCCTCCTCCTCCTCCTTCCTGGGGTTCATGGATCAGCGAAAGCTTCTAATGGCCGCGCACACTCCGGCTTCTGCTTTTGGAGGAGATCTGTTGCAGAACTAAACAAAACGAAGCCACGCGACCGCACACGTGCACTAGACTGAGGGTAGAGAAGAGCCTCTGTGCGACATTCTTCTTCTTCTTCTGATAATCCTGCAAACTGGGCAGCATGCACATCTTACAGCCGTACTGCATCAACAGGTTGGTGTGTTTGTGCAAATAAATCCGTGTTTCACACGTGGGTGTTTCTATATGATCCAGTGCAGGTTTACAGAAGAGAAAGTGTGTGTGTCTGTGTGTGTGTGTTGATTTAAGGCAAGCAGTTTGTGTCATTGTGACTGCTGACAAATGTAACAGTTGTCCACAAATCGGATTTACAAAAGATGATCACATTCGTGTACTCAAATTGTCAAGTAAAACATGGCTTTTAGGGATTTATGGTGGTGAGGGAGTCAATATGTAGTATCACTTGTAATCAAGTACATTTAAAGCTGAAGCGCACCACAGCGTCTTCCAGCTGATGTCCTCAGCACGGAGCCTCTGGCTGAATTTGTTCCACGTCTTCCTAGGGTGGAGGTGTTAAACCTCTATTACTGATAGAGTAATAACCCACAAACCAAGCTAGAAATTAACAGTGTAATTATGAATTCAGACATGAACAGTCACATCAAGACAGATACAAAATCAGCCTACTTAGAGGAATTTTGTCTCAACCACATTTGCAGAAACTTGTCTGTGCATTAATCTTGAGTAGACTTGACTCAACGGTGCATTCACTGGTCTCTGTAAAAAGTCAGTCAAAGGACTGTAGCTGATCCAGAACGCTGCCTCATATAGGACCAGGAAAGTAGATCACATGACTCCAGTTCTCAGGTCGTTATACTGGCTTAAACAATTGACTTCAAAATCCTGCTGTTGGTTTATAAAGCTCTGAATGGTTCCAGGACAGAGGACATTTGTGATCTGCTGATTCCTTATGACCCATTAAAAACCCTCAGGTCATCTGGGACGGGTCTAATTTCTGTCCCCAGAGTCGGAACTAAACACAGAGAAGCAGCGTTCATTTTTAATGCTCCACATATCTGGAACAAACTCCCAGAAAGCTGCAGGTCTGCTGAGTCCCTCGGCGCCTTTAAATCCAGATTAAATACTTTTATGTTTGCTATGTGTTCAACAGCAATGGATCAAATGACTGTTTAATATGATGTGTAGAAAAAGAACAGAGAAATTTGGATTGAACATTCACTGAGGGATATGACTTCTTCCGCTTAATCTAATAGTTTGTTGATGCTTTAGTCTGTTGGACCTTTTAAACAAAACTACAATAACTGTGCTCCTGTGAATTCAAATGAAAATGACTGTTTTAAGTGGTATCACATCTTCAATTTGGCCGTAGAAAACAGGGAGCTTTAGCTTGTTTTAATGCACTGTATTGGGAAATGAGGGAAGGCAAATGCTGGAAAAAACTTAACTCCATGACATGTATCTAAATCTAAAAAGTACCTCATGTTGTGGAAACACTGTCCAAAGTGACGATGTGTGAGATTCTGTTTCGGTAGCTCAGCTCAACGTGAGACCGGAGCAGATGTTACTGTCTGACCACGTGTACAGCGGTAGAAAGACCACGTCTGCTCGACCGAGCAGCTGCAGAGGAGCAGACGTCACAGGGGGTTTCTTTTTCCTTTTTCTGGGGTTGGAAGCGTGAAGTGGATTTGACCGTGTCGGGATCTCCGCCCGAGAAGACAATGTTATAACGTATTCTACCATTACATGCATCTCACAACAGCCAGAGAGGAATGGAGGGAGGCACCCGAGTGGCGTTACCTAATGCTGCTGATGGAGTGTAACACTTTTGGGAGGTAAAAAAAGGAAGGCTGAGGGTCAGATAGGGAGAGTAGCCAAAGGGAGCAAACAGAGATGCTATTGGGAGGAGAAAGGGACCGAGTGGGCGGGGATAGAAAGCAGCCAGACGTGGCGATGGGGAGGTGAAAGGGAAAGGAAGCAAGGACGGTAATCCAAACCCGCTGCCTGCAGCCGATGCACACGTCTTTCTGAGAGGGTGAGAGGGCGTAGAACGCAGTCATTATATCATAATGTGCTGAGCCTTGAACTACATTTATATGTTTTAAATATTGGAGATGAGATTTAACCGACGGTTTGCCTGCACAAAAGAAAAGCTAAACGAATAAAGCAACGAAAAAAATAAAGAGAAAATCGAATTGCTTGAATTGGATTGAGTTGAATTTTGATTCATTAGCATTTTTACAGCATTTATGGTTGTAATATTGCTCTTTGTTTTAATCAATCGGTGGTGCAGCTTTACGTCCTTTTGCAAGTTGACGTGGTTCTTTGTGGTCTGAATGTCTACAACATAATTTTGTCAAAACACCACAAGGATCATTATGAACAGCATCTTAAGCTCGGCTCAAAGCGACACCTTTGAGGTCTCTGGAATGGGTCGTAAAAAACGGAGGAGAATGGCTGATCAGTTATTATTATAATAATAGCGTGACGTAAGTGGGTGATTGTGTTGTAACTTTGCCCCCCCCTCCTTCCACCGCCTCCCAGGTGGCCGGATGTGCCGAAGAGAAAGAGCAAGAACAGCCAGTGTTCGGTGAAGAGCGTGTCAGGTGAGGATCCATCATCTCCTTCTTCAGGTTTGTCCTCCTCCACACTAGCCAGTGAACACAACACCTGGGGGGGGCGGGAGGGTGCGTGAGGCCCGTCGGCGCGCCGATGGCTCCCCGGGGCTTTGAAGGTCGTCCCGGGGAACCGGGATCGTCTCCTCCTCATTTCTCGTTTCATGGTTGTTATTTTCTTCCAGAGGCTTTGTTGGACTCAAATTAGCTCGCCTATATGACCAAAACCTGAGCTTAAGAGATTTAGAGAGTAGAGCTGTAGACAAGCCTATTAAGGTACACAACCAAGTAGAGAACCACCAAACTGGAGGCCAAAACGAATGAATGGGATTGGCCCCTTTTTGGCGTCATTAAGCCTTATTTTTATCCACCATTCACTACGACCTCATGAGACAAAATTCCGTCTCATTAAATGAAAGGACCTATCAGTTTGTCTGATTAAATACACTACTTAACAAAAGTATTCAACATGATAATGTGACGTCTAGTTTAAAATCAGCATGAGAAAATATCAACACTTGATTTATTTGTCATATTGTGATCTGATGACGCTGCAATGTGCTTATTTTTAAACCACATACTGAGCCGTTGACAGTAAGGGAAACAGCCGCAGAGCTTTGGTGCCGACATCCTTCATTTGTTTCATTTGTATTTTCTACACTTCTAAGGCAGAAGTGAGCAGCCTTAACAGTCTTAACAGGAAGCGGTGAATCAATCGGCATCAGAGCGAGAGCAGATTAACCGTTCTATTTGGTTTGCCTCTCAAGTATTTCTGTTGAAATCAGGGCTTTCAGTGTATTTATCAAAGCGCTTGTATACTCTTGTAGAGTGCCCTCAGGAGCCAACTTAGAAATAAAAAGGTTCCTCAAAACTTTACATGGTGATTTAACCAATTGGACGAGCAACTCCTGATGATCACTTGATGGGTCACATGTAGGAATCACCGTAGGATTTACCCGACACACAGCAGCGCTATTTATTCAGCCATGTCTTTATTATGCCATTAAAAGTAAAAATAAAGAGAAAAAGAAAGTATCCTTTATTAATCCCCCCGGGGAAAATTATTCTCCGCATGCCACATCCCATGCCAAATCTTTTAACGTGGGATGGAACATTCCTGTCTGCATAAATAGCAATAAAAAGGTAAATATAGAGAAAAGAGTTCTTTTTATTCGTATTTCTTCTTTCATTTTTTTTTAAACAAATTTTCAACACACAAAAAAATCTTTATTGCACTTGTATCTTTTAACTGTCTATCTGCGCCTCCAGCTCTCAGCGTGTCTGTCCCAGGGTACATCCCCAGCTACCTGGAGAAGGATGAGCCCTGCGTGGTGTGCGGCGACAAGGCGACCGGCTACCACTACCGCTGCATCACCTGCGAGGGATGCAAGGTACACCGTCTTTGTTCCTTTGCAAACTGCAGTGACGCGAGAGGGTGGAGCCTAATACAACCAAACCCTGAACAAGACATAATTAGGGGCGAATAAAATATTCCAGTGAACCATCATGCCATTAAAAACACACTGTAGAAAGGTTGAAGTTCTAACAGTGAAACGCGGACGTCAGTCACACGGTAGCCTAAAACATACCCTGCTTGATTGTCTGTTACTCTGAATAGAACCATCACTTCCAAACTACACCAACCAGCTCTGAACTACGTTAACAATTACTGTGACTGGTCTCCACTGTCAAGACAAAGCTTTGCACTGTAGTTTTAGCAAACAATAGAGAAGGTTCAAAGGGAATTTGTTGGGGTTTAATTTCAGCCACCAATGAATACGGGAAATGTGATGAAATAGTTATCGTACAAAACCCTCGCCCTCAAGTCTCTGCAAGCTAATTTAGTCGCTATAGTCTGAAGAAGGTAAAGAATAAAGAACTCCATTAATTAATTAAGTTTAAGCTTGGCTGTCTGCACTGATTATTAACATCCAGGATTTGAGCTCTAAAGGAAATTGAACCTTATTTTCCACTCGACTGGAGGCCTCTGGATTGCAGGAGTTGGTGTCCGCTGGGCCGAGCTTAATTAACGGCATCACGTAGAGCAGACAGCATGCCGTCTCTAAAAATGGCTTCTGCAGGACTCGCACAGGAAATGGCGCACGCTGAAATCCAGCTGTGGCGTTGAAGAGAAGAAAATGAACCTCCGTCTCAAAGTGTTCAGGATCCAAATGGTGATCTAGGTGTTCCCACAAAAGGATTAGGAACACTGGTAAGAAATTTCAAAAATGAAGTCTCAATCAAAACGGAAGAGCTCAACACTTTTATTTAAGAGCGGTTACCAGGCAACCCTTGAGTGAGAATCCATGTCAGTGGAGGTGCTGGGCCTCATCGATGGGGCAGATGGAGGAGGGGGGGTGGAGGGCAATGGGGGGTCGGCCGCACCAAACGGCAGAATGTAGCGGATTCAGAGCGCATGATACGCCGATCTGCCCTCGTCTTCTGAGTGGCAGCAGCGCAGCAGGTGGAGGAAGTGAGGGTGGAGGAGGTGATGTGTAGAAGTGATTCAGCATTGTCTTTGGAATGGTTCAATTCTTCATCTGCCGCAGACGGCACATCCTCTGCTTTTTCTTCTGTTGTTTGAGTTGAGTTGAGTGTGGGTTGATGAAGCAGAGGAAGAACTCAACACGGAGTCCCAAGAGGTTGTTTGGCTTAAAATGAGCTACAAAGCTGTCCGACCATAGCAGGTCATCTCCCACCGGGTTGCATATTTACCTCTGTTCTCTTATTCTATATCGACTTCCTTTGCTCTCTACAGGGTTTCTTCCGCCGGACCATCCAGAAGAACCTCCATCCGGCCTACTCGTGTAAATATGAAGCCTGCTGCATCATTGATAAGATCACACGCAACCAGTGCCAGCTGTGCCGCTTCAAGAAGTGCATCTCTGTGGGCATGGCCATGGACCGTGAGTTTTTATTAGATTATTTATTCTTATTACTGCTGATCTTTCTGAAGACATATAAGGTGTCACGGTTGCTATTATCACTGCGCAAAACTATTGAATCCATGTCAGGGCCACAGCTGTAGTTCGTGCTCTGTTTAGTGCTACCGATCAAATGTTGAAATCCGAAACTGCTAATTTAAAATGGTCAACATGGCACCTGTTTACGTTAGCATGTTACATGCAGAGCAAAGGTTGAGGTAAAGGCAAGTTCACGTAATACACACTAGGGATCCCAGTTGGGTGTTAGGGTTCATCAATACTCTATATGGTTCTTATTTGTGAATAGATCATCCTCTTTTTAACATTATTTTGAGAAATTAGGAGTTTAAAGATTTGGGTTACACTGAGCAGTCCAAATGCAGACACACGCGTAATGTAGTTTCGTGTTGGTGGAAATCGCCCCTCCTCCTTTCTGCCAATCAGTGGTGTTGGACGACTCGAAGCGCGTGGCGAAGCGGCGTCTGATCGAGGAGAACCGGCAGAAGAGGAAGAAGGAGGAGATCGTGCGCACGTTGCAGACGCGGCCGGAGCCAGACAGCGCTGAGTGGGAGCTCATCAGAATGGCGACGGAGGCCCACCGGCACACCAACGCCCAGGGCTCCAGCTGGAAACAGAAGCGCAAGTTCCTGGTGAGCTCCTAGTGTCCAGCATGTGTGGCCTTCAGGCAGAGAGCCGCTGTGTGATGATGAACGGAAAACACCAGGAGGGCTTGTTGACCCGAGTTCTTGGCATAAGAACTCTGAGCTGCTAGTTTGTTTGTGTTATTGTATAAAGCGGTGAACCACCACGTCCTGTGTCATGCTGGGTACAATGATGATGGCTTTTTTCAAAACTTAAATAACAGCTTCAGTCTCCAGTGAGAAAGAGGCGTCTGAAGGGTGAAACAGCAAAGAGACATGAGGCAACAGTAATGCATGAGATGAGTGTGATGTTCCACAGCCCATTGAGCCCATTGAAGTGCTTCAAAGCCTTCGTGCCGGCCTGTTGCAATTTGCATCAACAATCACACTCATTTTAATTTTGATAACGTTTCAAAGTAAAAGCTAACGTATTAGTAGTAGTAGTTTTATTCAGTCATTAAATACAAAACAATGCCTAAAGCATATATACAGACTAGTAGTGACTGAAGAAGCATAGATGAAGCATTCCGCTTATATATTCGTATTCTAAATTAATATCAATTTAGTTACCCTTAAGAAAGTTTGATGTAAAAGAAAAGATGATATTCATAGATGCATACATATCAATACACATTTCATTTGCATTTTTTTTTACATATTCTTAAGCATTGTTCCATAATTGGACTTTAAATCCCTTTTTAACAGTTTTGTACGGTGAATTTACAAATATCTCTCAGATAATATTTACCCTTATGTTTAGAAAAAACTGTACACAGTCTGGCCGTGCATTTGCTTTTGCTCCCTCTGGGAGTCCACGCGTTAACAGGGAGGCGTTACACGCCTGCATTCAGTTTCACTCCTCTACTGTGTTGCTTGCAGTCGGAGGACATCGGCCAGGGTCCCATCGTCACCACGTCAGACGGAGACAAGGTGGACCTGGAGGCCTTCAGCGAGTTCACCAAGATCATGACCCCGGCCATCACGCGCGTAGTCGACTTCGCCAAGAAGTTGCCCATGTTCTCAGAGGTAGCTTGTGTGTGTGTGTGTGTGTGTGTGTGTGTGTGCGAGTGTGTTGATCGGGCTCACTGTGTGTTAGTTTACAGAAAATTCTGAGTGCTTTTCTTCAGTTCCATGAATGGATTAAACAAATTTTTGCAAGCTGCTTTATGAATGTTTGGTTTACGGGCTCAGTACAGCAACGTGACCCAGTGTTACTTCGGGGCCGAGGCGCACCCACAACTTGCTCTTCTGGGGTAAAACGCAAATGCACCGTGCAGTATTCCCCAACCAGGTGGACGGGGGGGCCAGGGTGTAAATCATCTAACTCACCACGGCAGCCCTAGAACGATGCTGTTTCTTTATTTCTATGTGAGCTCATCCCCCTCTCTGTGTCTGGGTGATGCAGCCTTAATATATATTGCACAGACTTCCTGGTTACCTAAAGTGTGTCAGTGGATTTTGTTATGAGTCGAAGAAAACCCTTTTTCCCTGCAAGGAAGCAAGGTAATGCATGTTGGGTGTTGAAAAAAAAGCTGTTACACTGCATCTTACTGTATATCTAAAAGTTGGATTCCTCTACACTTACTGCCTTTTGCTGAGGACTCATTAGTGGAACGTTCACATTTTTACCCAATTGGACAACAGTCCATTAGTCGAAAATAAAGTAACCGTAGTACATTGCTCCAAAAACAGGCGGTTTTCATCAGCAGTGAACTGCATTTTGCATCTGCTTTCAATTTGCAGCTAACATTCAGAAGCCATGCAGTCATAACTTACATTGCATTTGTTTCCCTTTGTTGGCCACAAATTGCTGTAGTCTGTAAACGCAACATCAAATGTGCTAAATTCAAAAGTCTAAGCAATAATTTATCAAACAGCTATTTGCTATGAAAGCTATAGTGGAGTAACGTTAGCACTGTTAGCTGATAGCATGGTTAGCTGATAGAGCCAAAGACACACCCCTTTATTTTGTTCTAACAACTAAGTAAACATCTATTTACACGTCTGGCAGGGTTATAACGGCGATATTTACATTCATTTTGAGGCGTCTTTCTGGCCAACTGAATCTGCTCCTTTTCACTTGTTTTTGGTCGTTAACGTCTGGCCTCCGTTATTCGGTGCTGAGGTGAACGATGGCCGGTTTTTAGAACTTCTACTTAAAACGGCCCCCTGTTTGAGGCGGGGCTGATTGGACAGGAGTTTGTTGGTGGTAACATCTTCTTTGGGCGCCACTTGGAGGCAGCATGAACCCAGTTCAAACAAAGCATTGAGATCATCTTAAAAAGCTGTTACGGGAGCAACTTAGACCAGTTTCCCATCTATTTATTTATTCATTTCATTAGAATGTCCCCCTCTATAATGAAATGGTCTTTGTGTTTTCTCGTGTTTCCCAGCTGCCTTGTGAAGACCAGATCATCTTGCTGAAAGGCTGCTGCATGGAGATCATGTCGCTGCGCGCCGCCGTCCGCTACGACCCGGAAAGCGAGACGCTGACGCTGAACGGCGAGATGGCCGTGAAGCGCGAGCAGCTGAAGAACGGCGGGCTGGGCGTGGTGTCGGACGCCATCTTTGATTTGGGCAAGAGCTTGGCTCAGTTCAACCTGGACGACTCGGAGGTGGCTCTGATGCAGACCGTGCTGCTCATGAGCTCGGGTGAGGACCATTTGGTATTTGGCTTCTCACGGGCTTCTTCACGGCCCACGTTTTTCTCTTAGAATAAAACATTCTGGCAAACACAGAAGACGATAGTACAAAGCCGAAAACCGGTGAAAATCAAGTGCCACGATTGACGTCCCAAACCAAATGAAATGGAGCAAACGGGCAACCTGCGTATGACCTGGCATGCTGCTGTCTCTGTGTAGCTGCGTTTGCATTTGGTCGTATCCTTTTTGGGTCAGCTGACCTTTTCTTATTTTTTTTCTATCAATAACGGATAAACGGTCGTTTCATCAGGGATCAGGAATGTGATGTTGTTGTCTGTTGTGAGGAACTGGTGTCACCTGAATAAAATCAGATGGATGACAGTGTTGCTGAAGCTCTTATGAAAGTGTCAAGCAAGCTACAAAATGTGTTAAAACCTCGCCGGAAAGTCAGCAACACCAGTGTTCCTACAAGCCTCCCTCAAAAGCCACTGCCCGCAAAAAATCGTAAAAGTAACCCCTAAAAGATTTGGATTTATTCGTGGCTGTCAGGATGTATTTTAACATTCATAGGAATACAATGTTCCTATAAACACAAAACCTCCTCTAGCTTTAATTGGGGAAAAAACATGTTTTCCATTTTTTTTTTACTGACGACAAATAAAACTGGTGGAAATGTAAAAATCTCTCTCTGTCTCTCCTTCTCTCGCCCTCGCCGCACCAGACCGCTTGGGGCTGACCAGCATGGAGAAGATCGAGCAGTGCCAAGAGGCCTACCTGCTGGCGTTCGAGCACTACATCAACTACCGCAAGCACGCCATTCCCCACTTCTGGCCCAAGCTGCTGATGAAGGTGACGGACCTGCGCATGATCGGAGCGTGCCACGCCAGCCGCTTCCTCCACATGAAGGTGGAGTGTCCCAATGAACTCTTTCCACCGCTCTTCCTCGAGGTCTTCGAAGACCAGGATGTGTGACTTGAAAAAGCGGCGGGGAAAGGAAACAAGACGTGACCCCTCCCTCCTCCCGTAAAAAAAAACAAACCCTGGGCATGTGGAAGGAAATATATTTTCGGGGGGAGGCGGCTGTGTCAGAAGAGGAGGAGAAAGAAACATAACGAACCAATTTCTTTTCTTGGTGTAAACATTGTTTTGTTCCGGGGGTTTTTCTCTTCTCTCAAAATCACCTATAGCACCAGCAAACAGCATCGACCTCACCAGAGAACAACACACGTTACGATTCCAAACACACTGCCATGAACGTACGGAGCAAACATTATGCAACGCAAATCTCACGAGTCCTCTTCTGTACGGACAAACCGCTGTACTACCCTCACGCAGCCCCAGGGGCCTAAGGTATTAATTACAGCTCCTCAGACAACCACGCCGCCATCGTCGCCCGTCTGGCCCCGCCCCTCTGTGCGCCGAGGCCACCTACCTCCCCCCCCACCGACCTCTTCGTCTCTCGTACACACAGAGACACATGATTTATATATATATCATATATACTCATGCATATGAGTAAATATGTCTGTGTGCATGCACGCAGAGCACACGCCCCAGCACTGTTACCTCATGTGTCAAAGAGACAACACGGAGGCACGCAGTCTGCACGCAGTCTGCACGCAGTCTGCACGCAGCCATGAACCTCGCGCTGGTGTTAGGGAAGTTCAAATGAGAACAATATGTATGAAGCCCTGATACATTTTCACGTCTTTCACAAGTACGATTGTTGGTGGTTCAGCAATAGTTGAAGCCGACGCTGGTTTGTTTTCTTCTTGCTTAAACGGGAAGAGTGAGAGTGTGTTCACACCCAACGTGAGTGGAACGTCTCGCGTGGCGATGATGACGAGAAGTAGAAGGAAAGGTGTAGCCGTCTGTGGGCACCAAGTCCTTCACGAGACCCATGAGAAAACTAGACGTGTGCACACCATAGACTCTATGGCAGAAATAGTGATGCCGCAGCCGTATTTATGTCTGGGTGACGTTAGTTTGAGTGTCAGTGGGCATTGAAGAACGCATTGCCATCCAGAAGAGCTTGTACGTTTTGAGGAAAAGTATGACAAAGCATGAAGACTTTTTACTAATTGTGTCGTATTTGGACTCATTAAATGTAATGTTGCTATAAGCTACTGTACGCTGTCACCTACTGCAAAAGAAATAGTCAATTTACAACAAACAAAAATCTTGAAATTGCAGGACATGCCTTGTAACTGTTACGATACTCATAACACTCATATAAAGTATATGAATATACAGTACATATATATACTGCTAGAATACCTCTCCAACACATACCTCCTGTTTTCGTTACCTCACACACGCCCAGTTCAATGCGTTACCTCAGTTGTCTCGCCACTTGTCTGCTGGTCCAACAGGGCCGCGCCACACTTCATCGCAAGCCCTGCCCTCTTATTCGCACCGTGGCCCCGCCCGCCGACTTAGGGAGGGCTCAGCGCTGGCACATGCTGGTGGTTGGGAGTCACCTCCACCGAGACTCCGTCACCTGCATCTGTTTAATCCGCTTCATGTCCGGGCTGAGGCCGACAGATTCTACCTCACCTCTCGTCCCGCCCGCTACACACTCACATGTACGGGCGCCATGGATCAGCATTTAGGAGCAAACATGTCAGACTTTTGCCATTTTTTTGTTACTATTTCCATCCCGTTTTCCTTTTTACCAACTGACACTCTCTGGAGGTCAAGGACGGGGGGGATTTGTGCTCATTGGACTTAAAGGAAGCTGTAAGCATGCGACAGCTGTGAGTGGAAGTGGAAGCCATTTTGGCCCCGTTTGGGTCGGGCCAACAAACTACTTTGAGGTGGTGACTGGGAGGAACAGCGAGTGAGTCAGCATTATTCGCATAGGAGGGGAGCGAGCGGCTTGCGTCTGACTCAATCCAGAATGACAGGGCATAAAAAAAAAAACACTGCACGACCGCTGATCCTTCCCTCGCCGCCCGCAGTGGGAACGGACAACAAGCCGCGCGGCATAAAACCCACGTGAATCAAGCACTGCTGAAATAAGCTCCAGCAACCATATCCCAAATTGCCATCCACTATGAATAACTATCAGGTTTTTTCTGTTGCACTAAAACCACAATGTCTGTATCCCTTAGTGGCCCCTTGAACCTTGAAGCCCTCGTGTTTCCTGCCACTGCAGTCTTAACAATATTCTCTTGTATATCTCCCTCTCACACACGCATGCACACACAGACACACACACACACCTGAAAACACACGCAATCTCACCCCTGTTGAAGCCAACGAGGACTGCGACCTCAGTGATACACACACACACACACGAGCAGCAGCAGCAGCACACACACTGCAACAGGATGATCAATCAGTACTCCAGGCCGGTCTGCGTCCGTACCGCTCCTCGCTCACTGTCACTGTGAATAAACGCCGCGCCGCCACCGGCTCGTGGCTCCGGACAGGAAACCGCTGGCTCGATAACTCCGACACGTCCATCCGCCTCACAGAGGTCACTCATAGTAATAGACCGTATACAGAAGCCTATATTTATAGGTGGATATATAAAGTACCAGTCTAAAGTTCGACTGGTACTGTGTTGTGATATATATATATATATATATTTATGTTGCCGTTATTGCACGTAGCATCAGCGCTAGCGGAACTCAATAGACCCGGCTGGATCAATAATAATATGTTTTGCAGTCGACTCGGTGCTTGTTGTCCTTGTGGTGATCGGCAGCAGACCTCTGAATCATCTCATAGAGCACGACAAGTACCTGACTGTTTCCCTCCCACCCTCCTAATACTTCAGGGGGTCCAGAGATTAGTGTTTCCGGTCCACACAGCTCGGGGAACTGAGATATGGGCTGGCAGCACAGTCTCTCTCTCTCTCTCTCAGCCCAATGATCACTGGATGAATCCTCCCCCCTGTCCTCCACAATAAGACAAAAACGGAAACACACCAGCAGCACAGAGCACACTGCCTTCTAGCACGACCAGTTGCACCAGCATAGCAGAGAGACACACCAGTGGTCCCTCAGCATCCTCCACCGCTCAGTCACCATATATGTTCTGTTGTGAACCTGTGCTGCTGCAGCGTAGCACCGATGCACCACTCTGAAACGCAACCTCATTTCCACAAGTCAGACTACTTTTATTACCTGACCAACACCGTGCGTCCGTCCACCTCCTCTTCTGTTTTTTTTTATTTTACAGCCAATTCCCATCTTCCTAGTTACTGCAGTCGGGCCTCTCAGGATGCGCCTTCCCGTCCTACACACACTCACCCCGACAACCTACCACAACTCATGCTAGCTCTCTTTTGGTGGAGATAGTCGACAATCCTTGCAGGAAAATAAGTCCGCACGTGGAATGTAGAATACTGAAAATTGTACTATTTAACGACGCGGTGTGAAGTTCCACTCGCCGTTTTTTTTTTTTTTTTCAATGATGTTGCTTTTTGTTGTGCACTAAGTGTTCGTTGTTCTGCTTATTCTGCGGTGGATGAGGTCAGAAACCCGACCGCGCGACACACTGCTACTGATAAAGTCCTTCTCCTTTACTCTACTGGGTTTGTAAAAGACTCGCGGCGCGAGGACTGAAGCAGGAGATCCGAAGGAAGAGATGACGCGATTTGGATTTGGGTGACCAGATTTTTGACGAGCTGTGTTCCTTTTGTTTTGTTTTTCTATGATTAGTCTTTAATGTTGTTCTTAATTTCCTTGGTAAGTGAATGTCTGTCTATGTGCGTCGATGCTTTACTGTGATGGCTGTATATGCACTTTTCGGACCATTGTCAGTGCAGTGACAGCTGTGGTGATGGAAGGAACATGTCACCACAGGGGAGCAGCGTCCAAATCACCTTCTGTTCAGCTGGATCCTTTTAAAAACAGCCAACGGCTGTTATTAGATTTAGCGTTTCAACTCTTCAGTCGCCTCATGCTGATGGTACAATGTTTGATGAGATTATATGGTATACATTCATAATGGAACTATGAAAGTGAATTAAGGAACTGGCCCATTGGTCCCACGGCACTGACCGATGGCTGTTTAAGCGCCCGAGTAGCTCTGCAATGTGTAAACTAGCGCTCATTTAAGGGACTTGCGTTATTCAAAATGTGAACTTACTGTAGCTGTAAGTTTTGAAAACCACGTATGGGTTTTAGTGCAAAACAACGGAGAGACGGTTTTTATCATTTTCATTATCATTCCCACCAAGACTCAAGAGTTTTGGTTGATGTAAATGTACCGTTTGATATTCCAGCGAAACGGAAGTTAGAGCGTCTATGGTTTCCGCGCTAAGACCCTTTTTTTTACAGTGGAACCGAATTTTTGAGAGATGCTTAGAATTTAGTGCGAGTTAAAGGACGGTTGGTGACACACTGTCGGCATGTCCATGAACGGGGGGGCTATCTAGTCTCATTTGGTGGGTGGATTTTTGTAAAGCCTTCTGAGTGCGGGATAAATCCCCAGAGATTTTAAGCCATTTTACAGACAAGAGGGATTTCATGTTCCAACATGTATTTGGCTTACAAGAAGAGATAAACGAATGATTAACACAGGAACAAAGGGTTATAACTTTTAATCTTTTTTAAGCCATTAGCCTAACGTGTGCGTAAACGGAACAAATTACACTCCCATCATGTGGAGTTTAATCCAGGTTAAGGTTCAGGTATGTATTGGTTTGCCATTTGATCGGCTGCAGATGAATTAAGGAAGTAGGACTAAATGTTCCACAGTATCTGCTCCCGTATTCAAGGTATTAGCGTTTTTACAAACAAGGTTTCCTCGCTCAACTTGCAAACACTCGACTTGTTTAAGCTGTTCATGAGTCAAGTCAACACATTGCTTTGCACCATATTGGGTCAGGTGGGTCAATGGGCCAAAGAGTCTCCGTATGTGGGTCATTTCCTGTGGAGAGACTCTAACTTGATGCTTTGAAACATTGAGTACGTTTGCAAATCCTGGGGACTGTACGAAAATGATTGGCGTCGGACGGGGCGCCATCTAAATGTTTTGAACCTTGCGTACCTCACGTAACAACCACACATTTTCAGGATGTACCATGATTTTAAAATGCAAATCTG